TGGTTGGTGATTGCTAGTGATTGGTTGGTGATTGCTAGTGATTGGTTGATGATTGCTAGTGATTGGTTGGTGATTGCTAGTGATTGGTTGGTGATTGCTAGTGATTGGTTGGTGATTGCTAGTGATTGGTTGGTGATTGCTAGTGATTGTTTGGGATTGCTAGGTGTTGGTTGGTGATTGCTAGTGATTGTTGGTGATTGCTAGTGATTGGTTGGTGATTGCTAGTGATTGGTTGATGATTTCGGCTAATACCCAGGAAAGTGGGCCAAAGATCTTGTTATGATATTCTTTTTTTTCGGTGCCGTAGAGATTACACACAGCTGATCTCAGTCCAAGGTTTGAACAATGCAACCGTTACTGAAACAACCCAGCCACAACCAACACAACCTCTACCACCACCCTGCCACTACCACCACCACCACCGTCACACAGCCTCTGCCACAACCGAGCCACTACCAAAGTCCAGCACCCATCCCCACCCACCCACTGCCACCGCCACTACCTTAACACAGCCTCTACCACGACAGAGCCACTGCCACAGAATAGCGATTAACACGACAGAGCCACTGCTACGACAGAGCCACTACTACAGTACAGCCGGCACGACCACTACCGTCAAACAGCTTCTACCATGACAGATCCACTAACATGACAGAGCCACTGACCACGGCACAGCCACTAGCACCTTGCTAAAACGATCGGCATCCTTTCACATCCGCCTTGCACGCACACGTCCCATTGTCCCAGTTAAGACCCAACACTGCAGACCAGAGACTGGCCTACTTTCTCTCCCTTGTACTACAACCACTTCGGCGGCTAGCATCGTTCTACTCACAGGTTCCTTTGATACCCTAACGGTCGGCACTCTAGCATTAACCTGGTTTGTGCTGTGATTTTTTTTGTTTTGTTTGTTGTTGATGAATGGCCCCCCTTCTTCATTTGTGTGATGCAATGGCACTCGTTGTCATGGTTACACTATTTGGGATTATACTCTCAACAGAGGGTAAGTTGAATTTTTATTAAAAACTATTTCTTCATTATTTTTAAGTTAAACAAACTAACAAAAAACAAAGCGAAACAAAAAAATTAAATACTGCTTTAATGGACCAGTTTGTTTTTCATTCTCTCTTTTGGTGTAACCGAAATGGGCTTGAATGAAACTTACAAATCGACGTGTGCTGTGCACACAATCACACACAAATGGAAGGTGGCCATGAGAGTGGAACCCTGACAGTGGGTCCCTGTGAGTGGGGCCCTGAGAGTTGGGTCCTGAGAGTGAGGCCCTGAGAGTGAAGCCCTGAGAGTTGGGTCCTGAGAGTTGGGCCCTGAGAGTTGGGTCCTGAGAGTTGGGCCCTGAGAGTTGGGTCCTGAGAGTGGGGTCCTGACAGTGGGGACCTGAGAGTTAGGTCCTGAGAGTTGGGCCCTGAGAGTTGTTTCCTGAGAGTTGGGCCCTGAGAGTTGGGTCCTGAGAGTTGGGTCCTGAGATTGGGGCCCTGAGAGTTGGGCCCTGAGAGTAGGGACCTGAGAGTGGGAAAATTAGCCAACAATAAACAAAAACGTAATGCTAAACTGAAGGGAGGGAAGTTTGCTGAGGTGGAAGGGTGCTGAGGTGGAAGGGTGCTGAGGTGGAAGGGTGCTAAGGTGGAAGGGTGCTGAGGTGGAAGGGTGCTGAGGTGGAAGGGTGCTGAGGTGGAAGTGTGCTGAGGTGGAAGGGTGCTGAGGTGGAAGGGTGCTGAGGTGGAAGTGTGCTGAGGTGGAAGGGTGCTGAGGTGGAAGTGTGCTGAGGTGGAAGGGTGCTGAGGTGGAAGGGTGCTGAGGTGGAAGGGTGCTGAGGTGGAAGGGTGCTGAGGTGGAAGGGTGCTGAGGTGGAAGGGTGCTGAGGTGGAAGGGTGCTGAGGTGGAAGTGGTGGGAGGGTGCTGAGGTGGGAGTGTGCTGAGGTGGAAGGGTGCTGAGGTGGAAGGGTGGTGAGGTGGAAGGGTGCTGAGGTGGAAGGGTGCTGAGGTGGAAGTGTGCTGAGGTGGAAGGGTGCTGAGGTGGAAGGGTGCTGAGGTGGAAGGGTGCTGAGGTGGAAGGGTGCTGAGGTGGAAGGAGTAAAGGAGGAAAGGAAAAGCCTAAAAATGACACCTCGGCACACCCACCCCGGGAAACCGCTCAGGTTGCCGTTTACGTTTAGCCGCCACTGACTCCACCCTGGATATAAGAGTATGAATCCACCATGGATATGGGATTATGAATCCACCCTATATGTGAGCTTATGACTCCACCCTGGATATGAGATTATGAATCCACCATAGATGTGAGTTTATGACTCCCCATGGATATGAGATTATGAATCCACCATGAAGGTGAGTTTATGACTCAACCATGGATATGAGATTATGAATCCACCATGGAGGTGAGTTTATGACTCCACCATGGATATGAGATTATGAATCCACCATGAAGGTGAGTTTATGACTCCACCATGGATATGAGATTATGAATCCACCATAGATGTGAGTTTATTAATCCACAATGGATGTGAGTTTATGACTCAACCATGGATATCAGATTATTAATCCTCCATGGGTGTAAGGTTATGAATCCACCATAGATGTGAGTTTATGAATCCACAATGGATGTGAGTTTATGACTCAACCATGGATATCAGATTATTAATCCTCCATGGGTGTAAGGTTATGAATCCACCATGGATATGAGATTATCAATCCACAAAGGATACGAGACTATGAATCCAACATGGATATGAGATTATGAATCCACTGTGGATGTGACATCACCATGAACATGACGCCAACATGGATATGACTCCACAGTGTATGTGCCCCCAGACACTGCCATATAATGATGTAAAAAAAACAAACAATGTAGACCTACGAAAATGGTCCAGATTTAAGTGGTCCAAATTCACATGTTATTCGGTACGGCCGTACCCATCTGAAACTTAATTGGAATCCCTGGAGATAAAAGATTTTTCTCCGACCGATGCATGGTTATTTAAACACAACTGACAAGCTCTTTAAACAAAAAAATTAACCAATTCCCCTTTCACTCTCTCAACAGCCAGCCCTTGTGATGGTACGCCAGAAAGAATCGGACTAAGCTTCACACCGAACAAGCTGTTCTCTCCTAACTACCCTGAACCGTACACCAAGTAAGCATAAAAACGTAGGATCGGAAGGGGGTTGGTAGTACATAAAGTGAGTGATAAAACTTAGACAGCTTTGGAGACTGCATCATTTAAGAATAAAAGCAAACTCAGGCTTGGACACTGCATCACGTAAGTGTAAAAAACATAGACACGTTACGACAAGGCTTATATTGTAGTAGGAAACACAAGTGGATTCACCTTCTTTGACTGTAAACCCCACCCCCCTTTTTAATACCCTGAGACCACATATCAAGCCGCAAATCGGGCCATATATCAGACCACATATCAGACCTCATATCAGACCACATATAAGACCTATTATCAGATCACATATCAGGCCACATATCAGACCACATTTCAGGTTATATATCAGACCACATATCAAGCCCCATATCAGATACCGTATCAGGCCACTTATCAGGCCACATATCAGGCCACATATCAGACCACGTATCAGACCACGTATCAGGCCATGTATCAGGCCACGTATCAGGCCACGTATCAGGCCACGTATCAGACCACATATCACTTTACATCTGTTGTACATTTTCTATATGCTCTATGCATTTCATCCTTTTTTTCACTGTAGCATATTTTGACTTTGACAAACCAACTGATTTTCACCAGCAACGTGACATGTGAATGGGTGCTAGAGGCTACAGGATCTGACAGCCAACAGTTCGTCATACAGGTCGCTACACTTGAAGTAGATTTTGAAGAATCGTAACGGGTTTCCAGTTTTAGTGCGGACTACTTGGAGGCCTTTCAAGGTTAACATTTCATGACGTCATTTTCAAATTAAAATGTAAAAGTCAAAGTCAAACGACCAAAAAAAAAAACACAAAAAAAAAACAACAAAAAAAAAACAACAACAAACAACTAAATGATTGTGTCACAAAAATTGTTACCCATAGAGATAGAATAAAATAAAATAATCTTTATTATAAAAGCTGAAGTGAAATTTAATTTTGAGTGCTTGATACATTAATATTACTATATGGGTAAGGAAAATATTCATGTTGAGTTTTGATAAAATGAGATTAGCATTTACTTACCTTTAATAACAACATTATCCAATATTTATTAATCAAACTTTTTTTTTTTCAATTTGTTGAACATAATTGGAAGGTGTACGTAGTGTACTTAGTATGTATTTTGTAGTGAATGTTGTCTGAATTTTTAGGTTTTCCTGGGAACCTTGGTGAAAGTTCGGGTGTCTGGTGCCAAGGACAGAAGGTGGTTAAGGCAACAGGTCGCTTTTTAACACTAAGGTAGTTATGACGCACCCATGCACTCACTGGCATCTTATTTGTATTTACAAGCCATTTGAGTAAACTTTTAATCCTTTAATACAGTGGTTCTCAACCTGTGGGTCGCGGCCCCTTTGGGGGTCGAAACCCCCCTTTCCCGGGGGTCGTCTAATAAGATCATCGGAAAACACATTATACTCTACTCTACGGTTATGAAGTAGCAAGGAAAATTATTTTATGGTTCAGGGTAGCCACAACTCGCGGAACTGTATTAAAGGGTCGCGGCATTAGGAAGCTTGAGAACCACTGCTTTAATATCTTTGATTAAATAACAAATGCATATGGAAATCATTGCCCTACTTCATAGCTGGAAAAGTAATATTATTGAAATGCTTAAAAGTCGCCTATTTCAGAGTCAGTGTGGTGAAATATTTTCAGCTAAAAATTTTTTTTTATCAAGATAAGCCTGATAAGATTGCTTTACTAGCTCTTAACGTGATACAACTTACGAAAATGTAAAAAAAAAATTACAGCTTTATATATATAGACTTTTTTTAAAGGTTTGTTGCCAATGCACACAATTCAGGTCACTATACAAGAAAAGGTTTCATTCTGGAATATTCTCTTGTCAAGTCAGGTAAGCCTTTTATTAAAGAAAATATTTACCCATCTCATCTTCGCAAGTGAAGAAATAATTTATGTAGATCTATTATTCATTCATTCATTGCTTCTAAGATGGTCCACTTATCCTAATGTAGGCCATCATTATGTTACCAAATAAACTGTACCTTTTATTTTCTTACGTTAAGTTTTATCAAAGTAGTCCACACCATTTAGCCACACCATGTAGCCCACACCATGTATCCCACACCATGTAGCCCACACCTTGTAGCCCACACCATGTAGCTCACACCATGTAGCCCACACCACGTAGACCACACCATGTAGCCCACACTATGTAGCCCACACCATGTAGCCCACACCATTTAGCCTACTCAAAATCTTATTTTTAAAACTGGAATTCACATTTCACTCAATTAGTGTTACAATTTTTTTTGTTGATGGTATCAAGCCATATTATATTCAAGAAATAAATTTTATTACAGCGTCATCAGAATGCATGCCAGGAAGGGTAACTCCAGTTTATGCAGGTCGAAATCCCCTGTACCAGCAATTTTCTGTCGTAGCATCCAATAAAAGGTGAACACATTTTTTAGAGCTTCTATAACCCTCCCCCACCCCACCCACCTATCTCTCTCACTATGCAAATGACAAATTATGTTTTCCCCTTTGACTTGTGACAGGAAATTTTGGTCCGAGTTTTGTATTAATTCTTCTTTAAAACAGTTGCACATGGAGGATCGAAGCCATAGATAACTCTGGCCGTGAGGACTTGACCTCAGCCCTTGTCATAGACGTGTACAACATCCCTACAGTTTCGTGCAGCTATGGCAAGTTTTTAATCTATGATGGTAAGTAAGTGCGACTATTCATGAATTCGAAACAATTTGACAAAAAAATAATAATGAAATGATAAATTTAAGATCAGTTGCTTTTTTTTCATTCTATTAAAAAAAAATTAATAAATTTTAGTGACTACCACTTGTCTCCCCTTTGCTTTGCTCTGACATTGACGTCCCAAAGTAAATGTGCTATGCCATTTCTTACCCACCCTCCCTTGATTGGGGAAAGGTTGTTTATGTTTGAATGCCTTATTTGTTATAAAGAATGCTATCACATGATGCAGATTCTAGAATTTCTTTACTTGATAGTTCTGATTTAATCCATATATATATATATATATATCCTAACAGCTTTCCTGGCCGAGAAAGAATTTTTGTTATATTTTCTATAAGTGCTAGACTGTAATCTTTATGTGTGTGAAGAACTTAATATTTATGTTTTTATAGGATTTTACCTTTTCACTAGCAGTAAGTTGATATAGTATTTTGTTTAAGTATACTTGAATTTGTATTTTAATATAAATTTAATAGTATAATTAAATTGAACATCTTTAGTATTACTAGCACTACCTTCAGTATCGTTTTTCTTTGTACACATGTAAGCATTCAAATATTTCAGGAATTTATTTATATGTTATTTTTGCAGCTCATTAAATCATATCAATGCCTTTTTAATGTTTAAATGTTTTGATTTAAAGTTTATTTTTTGTTTTGCAAATCATATAATTTTAATATAAATAAAGTATTTATTCAGAAACACTTACTTCTACATGTGTCAGGTCCAGATACTCAAAGTCCTCTCATCCTCGACTGGTGTGATGACAACAGTTTTTTCTCTCAAATCTATACATCCTCCAGCTATGCTACCCTGACATTTATGGTAGATAAACCAGCAGAGCATACGATTCAACTAAAGATATACTCCAGGGAGACTAAGTGTAAGAATTGTGTGACAAAGAAGTCTAATGGGAAATTAATAAAAGTTCATCATATAAACATTAATAACTGAAAATAAGTTTGACAGCAGTCTGATTAATGAAGCTCAGTGATTGATTATGACTAGCGGTATATACCGTATTTTCACATATAAAAGAAGAGTCTTATTCAGATTTTTACATACCCCGCACCCAGGGTGCATCTTATATATGGGTGCATTTTATGTAAATATTTTTACACATATCATCAAAACCTGCTTCTTATATATGGGTGCATCTTAAAATTAGGTGTGTATTATATGCCTGAAAATATGATAGTTAAAAAGCCAGGTGAGGTCTGACATCTAGAGGAATATGTTTATGAATTAATGTGATTCATGGCCAGTAGAGTTATATGCATAGGAGATTAAAGCCAGGTGTTACATTTTGATTAAGACTACTGATTGCAAATACTATAATTATTATAAATTACAAACAAAATTGTAACATATTTGACTTTTTTAATGCTCATAGAATATTTATTTACTTCATTTATCATTACTAAAAAAAATATGGAGTAATCATTTTAAAAATCAAATATTACTTGTGCTTTTGAATAGGACAAACATCATATTGATTACTTATAAACATATTACATTTTTACCTCATTTTAATGAAGTTGCTTTAATTATCTTTAAAAATATGTTAGGATAAATCATATTCAAGTTTAATTCAGGAGATATGGCATTTCTATTATAATGAGAACACAAATTTTGATTGTGTTTTTTAAGGAATTATAGTTACCATGCCAAAAATGAATAACATACTATTTTAATATCCTAAGAAATTTTTATTTTAACACAAATGCCTCAGCCATGCAAACTGATATCAACATCAATTATACACACCCTCATACTAACACCACTCATGCAAACACCCCTGAGGCACGCAACTTTTTACAGACACCCTCAAGGACACACACCATCACAAAAAACCCCTCAGACACAAAGACATGTGACACACCCTCAAAGTATCACCACTCATTCACTACACACACACCATCACAAACAAACCCCCTCAGACACACAGACATGTGACACACCCTCAAAGTCTCACCACTCATACACTACACACACACACCCGTTAGATACACCACCCATGCAAATGGAAACATAGATGTAAAAACTTAATATGAAAATTTTCCCCTTCAGATCCCTGCAATGGAAATATCTCATATCCAAGTATTCAAGTCAACGAGGATCCAGTTTACTTCTCCCTGCCCTTTGCGAAAAATGACAAGTAGGTTTATTAAAAAGATATATATACATATGTTTTTTTTTAATTTTTAGATCTATCTCCATGGTTACCACAACGCCGTTGACTCTGTTAATCCATGCACATTTATTCTCCAAGGTCAACAACAAGTAAAAATGATAATCTTTTTAATCACCTTCAAGTGACTGCTTGTACCTTTCAATCTAAGAACATTAATTGGATCACTGATTAACTGGCTTTGAAATAGATCCTATAAGGTTCTCCAAACTTGATCATAAATAAATCCTACCATAGTTTTATAAGTTCTAATTAAATCTACCTAATGGATTAATTCTACCATAGTTTTATAAGTTCTATTTAAATCAACAACCTAATGAATAAATCCTAACATAGTTTTATAAGTTCTATTTAAATCAACAACCAAATTGAATAAATCCTACAATAGTTTTATAAGTTCTAATTAAATCTACCTAATGGATTAATTCTACCATAGTTTTATAAGTTCTATTTAAATCAAAAACCTAATGAATAAATCCTAACATAGTTTTATAAGTTCTATTTAAATCAACAACCAAATTGAATAAATCATACCATAGTTTTATAAGTTCTATCTAAATCAACAACCTAATAAATAAATCCTACCATAGTTTTATAAGTTCTATTTAAATCAACAACCAAATTGAATAAATCCTGCCATAGTTTTATAAGTTCTATTTAAATCAACAACCTAATGAATAAATCCTACCATAGTTTTATAAGTTCTATTTAAATCAACAACCTAATAAATAAATCCTACCATAGTTTTATAAGTTCTATTTAAATCAACAACCAAATTGAATAAATCCTACCATAGTTTTATAAGTGCTATTTAAATCAACGACCAAATTGAATAAATCCTACCATAGTTTTATAAGTGCTATTTAAATCAACAACCTAATAAATAAATTCTAACATAGTTTTATAAGTTCTATTTAAATCAACAACCTAATAAATAAATCCTACCATAGTTTTATAAGTTCTATTTAAATCAACAACCTAATGAATCCAAAACAAACCAAGAGCTAAGTCATCAGTGGCTGTGATAATATATTTTTATTTTATGTACCGGTAAAACAAAATATTCTTGGTCAAGATTCTTGGACTCATCCCAAGAAATTTTTCATTATAATAGTATGATATATTTACACAAAATCTGACATATTTCCCATTTCTTAAAGAAAAAACTAAATATTATTATAAATTATAATATTTAACACAAATTAATTACATCATCATTGACATGGCAATTAACACAAATGATTCATGAATCTGAACCTATCATTCTTGGACATAGCAATTGCACTCTTTGTTCATGTATCTGTGCCATAGCAATTAGCACTCTTAATTCATCCATCTAAACTTAATTTTTGAAATAGGGGTGAGCCGTGTAAGGTCTTAGTAACTCAACGTGTCAAAGACTATGTCAGAATTGATGTCAAAGCTGTAGAAGGGGAAGTGACATCATGTGACACAGATGCTATTACAGTCCTAGAAAGTGAGTACAAAATGGAACTTTTAGTTCTTAAAGAATTTAAAATGAATTGTCACTGCTGCTCAACAAAATACGTCACCATATGTCACAAGCCCTTAAGACGGAGAAAGTATTAACTAAGCTGCTACACAAGACACAACGCAAATCATTCAACACAATATTCCATGCACAAAAATTACTAGTGAATCCCCAAAATCATAAACAGTAAATTTTACATTTGAAACTTCAATGTTTCCTCTACTTATTTTGACAACTCATTTTTTTTTTTTGGTTTGTTCAGCATCTGATAAAAAAAATGAAGAAGTTGAACACCAATGCTTCAGAGGTCAAAACCCCATGTACCTACCTAAGGTGAGCAGCGCCATCGTGACGTCAAAGCTTGACAGAAACAAACACATCTACCTGAAGGCCATTTCAACCGGTAGGCTTAAAATCATTTTTGCAACACTAAATTATGATTTTACATGGCGGAGAAAACGTTGAACATGACCTTATCCTTTTTAAAATTAATTTTAATGAGAGGATATGATGAGACTAATCACACAAATATTGTATAGCGACTTATATCGAGTAAATTGTTCCCCTTGGATTTTTTTTACAGGTATGTAAATTGTTCCCCTTGTAATTTGTACCTAGGTTATTTTTAAACGCATTTTTCATTTTTAAAAAAATCTTAAACAGGGCTATTTTCAATTTAAATAATACCGGCCCCATTTCCCTCCCTAAAAAAAGTTTTGACTATTGATATCTAACATTTGATCCTCATAACAGCTGAGATGTAACATACAATTTCCAATCTTGAATGTTTATAAATTGAAATGTTATAGACAATCCAAAATGTACATCTTTCAGCAGAAGCATTTCTAGCAATGATCACTTATTCTATATATTAAACACTTCACAGATTTCTATTGTGGGGGGTTCATTGAGTCCCGCCAAGCATATGATAATCATATTAATGAAGAGAGAATACCTTACATGGCCGAGAGGGACGAAGTATCCAAGTAAGTAATGACCATGGATCCCCTTTCACATATGAGAAATTTGTCGCTGGGGTGCTGGTAACTTGGCTTTTTAGAACATTTCTACACAAAGTTGTGGTGTCCAGAACCGGGTCCATGGGCTCTCGGCCGCCAGCAATCAATACTGAATAATTAAAGAAGATGAAACAAAAGAACAGCAATAAATAAAATAGGCAACTTGTAATAGTGCGATGATAAATGAACACTCAAGGCTGTGATCTGTGTAACAAACTAACTGTATTCTCAATTCTACATACCCCCTCCCCCCCACCCCATCACATGACTCACTCACTCTAGTTATCCAATCAATATTCACACATTTACGCCTGGGAATCTATGAAAAAAACTCACCAAGTCCAGTCAGCCAACATGAAAAAACAACACTGGTCACTTTGAATGAATAAGTTAAGTCGGTACACGTGATAACATTACTGGCCAATCAACGAGTCATTCTTACCATCAATAAAACACACCTGCCACTAATGCAATAAAGATTATCCTGCCGGCTCGTCACTCTGAAAAATTTTGGGGACCACCGGTGTACAATTCTTGATTATAAAAAATATTTTGAAGGAAATGCGTTATAATTCATTCAACTCTTTTATCACTTATTAAATGCCATCATATAACTGGGTTTTTTTTTCTCATGACTTTTGGTATAAATATCAATAAAGAATTAACAAACTCTTTAGTGCTGCTAAACGATGTTTTAAAAAAAAAAAAAGATTTAAGTTGAGGAAATAGCTCTGACACAAACAGGACACAACAGACAGCCTGATGTCCTGACACAATCATTGTCTCAGAGCTTGATAACACCACAGACATCCTGATGTATTGACACAATCATTGTTTCAGAGCTTAATAACACAACAGACATCCTGATGTCCTGACACAATCATTGTTTCAGAGCTTGATAACACAACAGACATCCTGATGTATTGACACAATCAATGTTTCAGAGCTTGATAACACAACAGACATCCTGATGTCCTGACACAATCAATGTTTCAGAGCTTGATAACACAACAGACATCCTGTCTTGACAAAAGCATTGCTTAAAAGCTTGATAACACCACAGAAATCTTGATGTCTTGACAGAAGCACTGTTTAAAAGCTTGATAACACAACAGACATCTTGATGTCTTGACAAAAGCATTGCTTAAAAGCTTGATAACACCACAGAAATCTTGATGTCT